TTTTGTGTAAAAAAAAAAGTCTTCTGTTCTCTAGATGTTACAGACAAGGCCCGCATCCTTCCACCACCTGAAGAAGATGCCATAGTCTGGGATCGCGTCTTAAATTCAGACAGAAGACATGTTTTATTGTCAATGGTAGAGACAGCACGAACAAAGCACACGATCACAGATACAAGAGAATGCAAGTGTATTATACAGAGCGGAGGCATGGAGACCTCCAATCAGCAGCTTCCACGGTGCCATGTAGCTTGGCCTTCAGATAGACAAAACAAGGGAAAAGTACTGGCTTCTGCACATTGATAGAATGATGAGTTTAACCTTAACAAAAGTTGCTTCAAAGTGTTATGAAATCTCATACTTGCAGCAAAAAAGAAACAAAGTAATCCATACTATAATATATAAATATATTTTTTGTAAAAACGTGCTCATGATTGTGTGAACGTTCTTGCTCTGTACTTTGCATTGGCTAATCAAAATGTAGCACCTTTAGAAAGCTGTAGTATTTTTCAATTACCATACTTGGATCATGTTAGAAAATGGCAGAGGACTTGTATAGTTTCTTATGGAAGGACGCACACGTCACTGTTGATCCAATACCCTCACAAACTGTACCAAAAAGTGCACCTATAGCCGTCATACAGTGTCTGCTGGGAGGCACCGCTCTGCGAAAATAAGTCTAAAAAAAAAAAGAATAAAGCTTTGCCTCTGAATTTGTCTCATTGAAGATGAAAAGCATCTGCCTCTCACTGGCATCTGCTGTGAAAGATATCCTTGCACCGCCACGGGTAGGGAGGGCAGCCTCACACAAACTCTCTCTTCTTTCTCAATCTAACGCAACACAAAAATCACAGTCAAATATATGTGACAGCCAGCAAACTTAATAAGACTTCTTCCCATTAACGTTAAATAAAACTTGGGCGTCGTTTTTTTTCTTCTTTTTATTCCAGAAACAGGGGTTGGGGGATAATTCTCTTGGCACCTTGAGCGATGTACTTTCCACTTGTTTTCTTTACTAACTGCAAGAAGCTTAAAACAACAATGAAGTTCTCATTATCAGTGGGGGGAAAGGCGCAGTGGGATGCCTGGGGTTTTTGCAACGATGTGATATGAAGATTTTCAAAGACTCAGCCACGCAGGGAGGAGCACTATGTTTGCTTGATACAATCACAGCATGAACTTTCACTCACGACAATCGAAAGTGCCCATGAATAATGTTTTCAAATTCCTTATATGCTTTGTAAATCTTATCAGGTTTTTTTTACTCCAAGCCCAGAGGCACATTCCAGTTAGTGTCAATACTATGGCAAGCATGAGTTGTCAATGATACCTGTCTGCGGCCTGCACAGGTGAGTTTGTGTAGGAATGAGTCACGCATTTTATTACGTTGAGTCACCAGCAAGTTGAACATGGGGAAAACTAGACGAGCGATGATGTTGAAATCCCTCAAAAATAAAGTAGGGCACAGACTGTATAGACGTTGCGTTTATTGCTCTGAAAAACTTTCAAGAGGTTCTTATCAGCTTTGAAGTTTCAACGGTTCCTTATGCGCCAGATTGCGTTTGTGGATGGAACTGAACGTTGCTATTCTTTTATTACCTAATGAGGAGATTGGCACACAATCATAAATATATGAATGATAACATATCACTTTCAATATAAACATAATTTATTATCAACCAGTTAACCTGTGACAAATGTGTATGATTAAGATCTTATTATAACATTGATATTTTTTAATTATACACTCATTTTTTCAAGTCTGTTAGAAAATAATATTTGCTTGTTGCACTCATTTATTCTCAACCTCATAATCCATCCGTTTAGTCATAGGATTTGCTTTCCTTGTTTTTCTCTTGTTTGCAGTCGAGACAGGCAAACGCAAGACGAGCTCCAAGAAACGGTTATCTCAAAACCCGCATTCACCCTGGCACATAATCCCCTGGACAGGAGTTGCTTATTTTCAGCTTGGCTGTTGCTGTACATCTGTTTGTAATCAAATATTTCATATTGATTGAGTAATTGATCCAATTAAGTCTCCAGTGTTTCGATAAAACACTGGCAGAAACTTGATAATCCCCTGACAGCGGTGCAGTTTCCATATATGTCACCCAGACAGTTATTGGCCTAATGAACAAATGAATTGCATTAAATGTTGACAAATAGACGCTGGCCCAAATATTAATAGCTACTTAATGGAGAGTCGAATCCTACAGCAAGTTTAATTCTGCTCTGTTTCACTTCTCATTTGCTTCAGTGATGTGATGGAAAACTGGAAATGTGGTGCGCCAGTAGCTCTATATTTAGGTTTTTATGACCATACATTTTCAAGACGCTTACTTTTCCCCTGAGCTTCACAAAAGTTTTAAACCCAGACTTCTCGAATACCCGGCTTGGTGTTTTTCTTGGTTTGATTTTTAGCAAAGAGGGTGGTCTGAGAGAGGCTTTTTTCCCCCTAACTATGAGTAATGGGCAGCTGCGTAACTCCATAGATAGACCATAGGCGTCCAATACTAGGGACATTGTTTTGCTGAAACTTGTTAACTTTCTGTATGCACCCGGACCAAATCTGATCAACCGCTCATCTAGCTGTGAAATATGTTGTGTCTTGTCTATATTGTCAAACAACTATCAGCAATCACAATTGTTCATTCACCACTGTGTGCACTGGCTAAAGAAGCAAGCAAGTTGGATTGATTTCTTCTGTGAGCTTATCGTGAATCCTGCCGAAAAGCCCTTGACACAATACACGGCTTATACCCCTGAACTTCCTGAAACTTTTTTGTATTATTATTATTTTTTCCCTTTGTCTGAAGTTCTCCAGGAAATATCTTTAATTTTATCAGCAGAGATGTCTGGCCTTAACCATGCTGAGATTACTCACCACAGATGGCCATTGGGCACGAGCGTTAAGGATAAGAAATGTGGTTAGCGGTTCATGTGGATACTCATTTTGTTCATTATGGCTTTAGACATTACAACTGCAGGCTAAAGCAGACATGAGGCCGTATATCAAAAGCCTTATCACGGTGCCTTAGTCATTTCCTAAACACAATGCCATTTGTGCCATTACATTATTTTAGTTGCTTCAGTTTTTGTTGTTGCTTACAAACGTATGCAACAATTCCTTTTCAATTCAATGGTGGTGTTTGGATAGTGACATAATTATCAGATTTACGTCAAAGAATTTACCAGTTTAATTGCTATTTGCAGTGTAATACCACTCTTGAATGATGGGGCAGAAGAAGACATGTTTTATTTATTTATTAAACACAATTTCAACTTTCAAAGTGTATTGTTCCAACTGACAACAGCTTAGAGAAAGAAACTGACCGCATGTCTTGCATTTGATGGAGAGATATCTTCCGGAGTGAAGAAGCTGGAACATGGCTGTGTCAGGGTGGTCGGAGGATGTGGTTGTGGTGTTACCAAACACAGAGTCATAAACCTAAACTTTTAATACAAATTTAAACGCCAGCATTGCTCTTCAACACGGCTCATTTTGTTTGCATGTCCAGACATAACTTCAGAAACCATTCATTCATTTCCTGCCTTATCCGGAAAGGTCATGAGTGGCAAGTACCCACCCCTGTAACCTGGGTCCTGGGGCAGTTCACTTCCTGGACAATTGCCATGTTGTATTATTAAGAAAGAAAGGCAGCCATTCACTTTTACATTAGTTTACAATTGGAAATGTTCTTCTTTATCACAACAATGCCTAAATACTGCACAGATCACTTGGCAAACATTAATTGCAATAAGAAACACTATGCGATCTTAGTTTTCTAACAATTAGAGATGAACACAAAATAATCATATTTACTGTTTCTTGCCATCTTGCAACAAACTATAAATTACATGAGGACAAAAGTGAACAAAGGAGAAAAGACCTCAATTTATTCAAAGATTCAAGTGGATTAAAAAGGCCATTCTAATACCATTATCATTGGCTCTTCATATTCACTTGTGTGGCCCTTTGCCAATTTGTGCTTGACTCCTGTTCAAGTGTCTCCATCCACCCGCTCAAAGAAAGAATTCATCCCCTTCTCTATTCACGGACATTTCTGCTTAATTTGTGTGGCACCTGCTTCTACACTCGTGAATGAGAGGAGGGGCGGGGGTGGGGGTTGATGTTGTCTTGTTAACCGTTTATCTATACATGCATGTTGTCAGTGTATGAGATCACAGCACTTTGGCTAATTTGTACCCATCTGGAAGACAGCGTTTCAATTTCGTAATGGGGGGAAATTAGTTAAGGGGGGGCCCTCAGGGAGTTGAGTCGGTCCTTTGGGGCTTTTTGAACTTATCCCTATTGTGCAAGGCTTAATCCTCAAGACTGACCTCCTCTTTGTTCTTAGACCCTTCTGCAGTGGCACTGTACTCCTGGTCTTTATGTTGTCTTAGTTAAGCCTGCGTTAACATCAAGCCTGAAGAATGAGTAAGGTTGAAACCATTTTTTAAAAGCCCGGTTTTCAAAAGCAAGAATACCATAATGTCAAGATTAATTGTGTTGACTAACTTGTGTATATAAATTTTGAATACCGTATTCTTTTACGGTATTTGCGTTGACATTCTCCCAGCAATAAACATGCATAGGCCACTTGATAATGACACATTGCAATAGTACCTAACTTGAGTTAATGTAACCTACATGGATTCTGTCAGTCACCAAACTAGGGTAACAGTATCCAAGACAAAAAAATTGACAAAAAAGTAGGGTTTTGTTTGTGAAATGGCAGCCAACGCTGTTCATGAGTTTTGTTGTTGCCTCCTTCGTTGCACACAAAACCCTTACATCTCCTTTGGCTTCCCTTTGCAACAGTGCGTTTGATATTTTTTGCCTTACCGTGTGATATAGCAGCTTCAAAAATGCAAATGTGCATAGCGTTTGAATGCTAATGCTCTCGCTCTCTGCTATTTTGTTTGCTCCGGCAGGTGTTAGACTTTGATCCTCTCCGAGTGGGACGTGTCTAGCAGGGGACCGCGGAGGAAGCAGTGCCAACATGGTGCCTAATACTCGCCCCGTCGCAGTGCCCCCAGTGACCAAGGGGGCGGCGCTGCTCCCGCTCATTCTCAGCTGCATGGTGCTTTCCTCTTTGGCTGACAGTAAGTACCAGTGCTTCCAAGTGCTGTTTTCTTTACACATGTATGGCTATGAGGCTTTTGTTGGATCTCTCGTGAAAATGGGCTCCTGGTCTGGTTCACTTTTATCTGATTCACTTGGACCAAATCTGCTTTCTTTGTGGTTGTAAAACCACCAAACATTGAAGGCAGTTTACATCTTTTGAAATAGATTTGTTTAAGTATTTTTCCTCCAAAGTGAACCAGACTTAGTCCAGTCAAAGTGAACCCTCCCCTAAGTGTTCTTTGGTGACTGTTGGTGAGTGTTGCAAATACTATAGTTTTCCTTGACATCATTTTAGACTGATTGTATTTTAAAATCCACATTTCTCCCAACCCAACCCAACCTTACTCCACCTTCATATTCTTTTGTAGTATAATTCAGTAGAAGGAATATGTATGAAATGGATCTAAGTTGGTAGACCTCGCTCAGCCTAAGTTGTGCGTAGTAAAAACTGATAATGAAACTATAAAGCAGCCTTTACTGAGAGCAGGATCCTTCACGACTGCTATCAATGGAATAGTGTGATGAGAATTCGACTAAATTATTACTGTAAAAAATGTCTCTCCCAGTCTGTTGATTTCAATGACACAGAATCTTCCGTTAAATTAGTTTTAGATAAAGTTCCAGACAATATAAAAAGTGGGTCACTACAACATGACCGTGGAAAATCTTGCAATCTCGGAAGTTGTCAGTCATTTGAAAGAGACGAGTCAAAATGAAATGCAATTAAATCCAAAAGCTTGCAGTTTCCGATGTTTATTGCATCCGTTCTGCTGTCTTGATCATTACGAACACAACAAAGGCTTTCTATTTAGATATTATTAATATGTTTTGATGAAGCGTCTCAGAAAAATAGAAAGGTTATTTGAGGGTAATTTTGAACTTCACATAAGCCCTTTGCAGATAAGGCCCTGCCTGTGAAAGCACTGCCATTATTGTTGTGTGATGCTTAATTTAACTCATTCAAATGTTGCACATAATTAATTGTGCAGTCGAGAGGAAGCTCTGCCGCCACTGCAGCTTTCTTGCTCTGTTTGTTTATCTAAAGCATATTGTTCTTTATTGAACTGCAGCTTGTGAATGCAAAGCCAAAGCTGTAATACTACAAAACAGCCTTGCAGATTAATTGAAAAAAGAATATAAGAGTGTAGTTTGGCAAATTCACAAGAGGAGGGTGTGCTTCCAGCTTGTCCTAATGGGGATGTTATTGCACGTTATTGCATTACTATGGCATTGTAGCGATATACAAATGACCTAATTTGTAGCCCTTACTGCTAATTGCATACTGCATACTTTTTTAATGAAATCATAGTAAAGGAAATTAGTTTTTCTAGTGTGTACATCAGTCTTTAAACAGTAGTTGACTTATTCTCTGATATTACAGCGGTTTATTGTATTTATCTTGTTTGAGTGCTCGTTTTATTCCTTCTGTAATGGGCTGCAATACAGACTTTTTCTTTCATTAGTTATTTCCAGATAAGGAGGCAAGCTCAATCACTCAATATGTGTTTTTCCAGGTTATTTCAGAAATAATACCATATAGGAAAACAACCGGGAATATGAGCAGATCGTGAACCCCCAAGTTGATGCAACTTAATATTTACTGTAATTAAAATAATTGTTTTGTCTCGTTAATCAATATTAAGTAATTTATAAGTCAATGTAAATGTGGACATCTGTGGGGCTGCTACTTGCCATCAGCGCAGACACTCTTGTGTTCTGTGCTGTCATGGTGAGTGACGGGAGCGGGCCGTGAAGCAAAGGCTTTCAGACAAATGGGTCAGTGTCAGTGCCTTGCCTCTGGGACCCTGGGGCCAGTGCAGTCGCCCCAGTGTGGGACGGGGTCAGGGACAGCATTAATTCAACACATGACCTCACCTATAGTGCTGTCATAGGGTCACTGTAATTCAATTATGGCCCACTCCGCCCACCAACGCAGACGAACACCCCGGTAGGATTTTGTGTTTTTCCCTGGAAACCTTTGCCTCCTCTCCATCATCTCTGTGATCATCTCTATGTGCAGTGTCCACAGTGTCGGACATTGTCATTTGGGGAACATGACCTTGCTGATAAAAGTTTGGACTTGGCTTTTGTTGAAGCAGGGGCTGAATGGACTCCATGGGATCTCCTGTTCATATTACTGTAAATAAATAGCTGCCAAATAGCACATTTTACAGTCTATGTCCCGCAAAATGTATGCATGTATGGATGTCTAAAGCAAATGTGCAAAAAGACACTTGGCAGGAATATTTAAGGTTTGCAGTCTTAATGGAAACATACACTGTAAAAAACAAAAGTAACTTTGCTTTGTATAATATCATTCTGGACGTAACATGCCTCTTTTTGATTTTTCCTCCTGCCATATGTCTGTAGTTTGCAATTGCCCTTGCTATCTGGTGACAAAAAATAACGTCACATTTATACACATATTTTAAAAGCTGTATCCAGTCATAATCTCTTCTTCATACCATGCCTTAAATGTTCAGTAGATTACAGTCAGTGGTCTTTTGATTATATTTTTGCCTAAGGAACTATGCTAAACCTAGTTATTAGCATCTATTAAAATTGTAAATAGCTATAAATAATGCATGATTTGTACAACCAATGTCTAGCATGATTAAAAAGAAACCAGTTGAAGTTGATGCACTTGAAGAATTTTTTTATAATTTCCCCAAAATAGTAATAGTGACAATTAAGTGGATTTTAATCAAATGTCAAAGTTATTATTTGTTTGTGTTTCTTTCCTTTTTATAGTCATTCTCAAAACGTGTTCTGCTTTGTGATTCATTCACGCTCCAACCACAGCTCATCGCCAGGCTCTCTCCAACATGGCTAAAACAAAACTTGATATTTTAACTTGTGTGTCTCCTCTTTGTCACCACAACAGTGAATGTGCCCTGGCCTCTAATTTTCACTGATCATATCATTTTCAGATTCAAGCCTTTCTAGTATAATTAAAGACGTTGCTTTGGTGTGACATGTCCACCAAGCCTATAAGCCTCTGATACAAAACTGTGAAATTTGACCTTCAGAAATTACAACCACCATGGAGAAAAATAAAAACATATTAAAAAGTCTCAAGTCCAAAGTGAGCCTATATTTGTAGTTGGGTTGAGGCTTGCTATTACAGACAGTAAAGCAAACAGACATAGAATTAAAATAAGGCCGATTGGGGGGGCAGAAATAACACCTACCACTAATGTTAGGGTTGCACACATGGGATGTCTGTAATTTGTATGCGCTTGGGGAACTCTACAGTGCTGCTCGGGATTTGCTGTATTACAGGGCAGACTGCTGCAGACACATATTATGGGGCGGGGTGCAAAAGACGAAATCCTGATTACACAGGTCTCCCCGATGAACACTAAAGGGCCGAGGCAATCACCGGCACTGCAGACTCTATCGGCATTCCCCGTCGTAAAACTTCTATCTGGTCCAAAGATGGCTTATTTTTTCCGTCTATTAGAAACACGGACTTTGATGAACATGCAGGAATAAAAGACTTGACTAAGATGGTGGTAATGACAAGTTCTGTAGCCCCCTTGAAGAGTTGAAGTGAGCTTTTCAAGTGTGCACATGTCAGTTAGAACTTCCTCCTCTTTGAATCGCATCGCTTTGAAATAGTTTTATTTTGAGACGTTTGAGAATAATTGGCGTCATTGCTTATAAAAACATCTATCACCAGTTATGGTTTGTATATTCAGTAGTCAAAACAGAAATTCACTTTGTCAGTTCACACGCAGAAGGGAAATTAGGGTTGGTTATAGTGTTATATGCTTGACACAATGTGTATTTCTTCGACACATTTTTCAACATTTCAACAATTTCATATGATTCAAAGAAAGGCTGTTTTAGTAGTTGTACCTGGTGTTTCCATAACTACAGATGTCTGGCTTCTTTTATTGTGTTTTGTTAGACATGATCTAGACATACAGTGTGTATTATTATGCATATATCGTGGGTAATTTACATTTTCATAATCTCTGCACTAGTTATCATCTTGGTGATAAGTTCAATATACTTGAATGAGTATTTTATGGGTATTATACTAATTATTATAGTAAATATCCCTCTCTTCATATCAATACCAAATACGTTTTTTTCCCTCCTTTGTATGCTTAAATAAGGGATTGCATGATTTGCATACGTTACATTATAAATATCTAAAAACACATAAACATTATGCCTTCATGTTGTGAGCCACATACATCAAAAGCTTGTATGTGTCTTATTTAAAAGACACATACTATTCATCAATCCATATTCTTCCACTGTATCCATTACCAGGCCGCATAAGCAAAGACTATTCCAGCTCATTCTCAAAAGAACCTCAACGGAGTCTTCTTGATCCAGAGAAAGCAGTGGCCTCCTACCATGTGACTGAACTCCTCACTTACACAAACTTGATATACTGTACTCTACGCTTACAGACTATATACTGATTCAGATTCAGTTTATTTGCCATTTGCAGTAAAAAAGACCACATTGGAATACATTAGCAAAAGTCTCCAGTGTGCATAGACAAATACAGACATAAAACAACATTAAAAGACAAAAATAAAACAAATAAAACTATAAACAAATGTCACTGTGAAATCGATCGACTCAAACAGTTTCAAAACAAGTGCAAATCATTAAAGTGCTCTGTTCACACTGATAACAGCTTGTGGATAAAAACTGTAAGCGTAACGAGATGTCCTGCATCTCAGAGAGCGATATCTTCTGCCAGAGGGAAGAAACTGGAACATGGCTTTCCCAGGGTCATTGACAATCCTAAGAGCTTTGTTTAAAAGTCTGGATTTATAAAGAACCTCCAGAACAGGAAGCTCACAGCCCACGGTCCTCTTTGCAGAGCGGAGCACCTTGTTTAAAGATCTCTTTTCTTTATCTGTGATGTTTCCAAACCACACAGACACAGAACCAACAAGTAAACTCTCAATGGTGCAGCGATAAAAGTTAAGCAGAATCTTAGAGTTAATGG